TTTTGACAGATGGAATTGAAGTCAGTTGTGACAGTCTTTTAAGGGAGATTGGCAGGTGCGAGTCTGTTTTCTGAGTCTGTTTTTAGAGTCTGTTTTGTTTTAGTCTGTTTTTTGAGTCTGTTTTTTTCAGTCTGTTTTTTGAGTCTGTTTTTTGAGTCTGTTTTTTGAGTCTGTTTTTTTTTCAGTCTGTTTTCGGACAACTCGGACCACGCCCACAAAAATATTTTCAAATTGCTTCGTTTGTCATTTTAAAACAACTTAGTTTAGACAAGGTTCAAAGTACAATCAACACTGGCAAGTTAAAAAAAAATCTCCTTTAAACTCAGTAAATGAGTAACTACTATAGTTTTTTTTTTCTTTTCCATATTAGTTCTACTGTAATGTGAGAGTAGGTTAGAATTAGATGAACAAAAGCTTTGACTGTATGTGGAACTAGATTAACCCTCGACTAGGATGTTTCTAGAACCTCTGGAATAAAAAAGTGAAAACACGCTATCGTGTTAGCGAGATTTGAACTCAGGTCGCGTAAGATTAAATACATCGGTGTCACAATAAGTTAAAAACATGTAAGGGCGTTAACTCTCACCTCAGTGATTTCCCCTGGAGGCGAGAGTAAAGTCCCTTGATCGGCCTGTGACCCATCACTAACACGACACATCCCCCCCCCCCCCCCCCACCTTCCAAACGTTTTCAAATCGTTGTTTGCCCTCATTAGGTGATTGATCTGTCATTCATTAGCCGGTGATTAGAACATTATTAATGACTGAACGATCTTCGATTTTTCCCCACCGGTAGAATAACAACAACAACAACCCTTTCAGCGGGTTGATGCCCAGGTTAAGCACCGGGTTGTGCAATGTGTACTTGGTTGTGTGGGGTCAATGTGGGTGTTGTTTGCTGGGGTTAGAAAAATCTGGTTAGACCTAACCCAACCATACAAATGTACCAGTTTTAAATGCTACTGAAGTCTGTTTGAATGTTGACGTAGCTCCTCCCACATTTCGAGTCACGTGATAAATAATTTTTTTGTGTTTTTTCAAAATTAATTATTTACAAAGGGAGACGACAACAATGGTAAAACACTGAAAGTTGTATAAAATAATGGGGAAACACTGAAAGTTGTATAAAATAATGGTAAAACACTGAAAGTTGTATAAAATACGGGGAAACAATGAAAGTTGTATACGATCACAATAAGAAATTACGACCTCAAAGAAAACATAAAAATGATAAAGTAATTAAACAAAGAACAAGTTCTCGCCAATACTGACCACACAGATAATAGATGAAACACAAGGAGGGGGAGGGGGAAGTGGACGGACGTAGAACTGTTGGCCTAAAATAGAAATGTCCAACACATACTGTCATAGAACTGTCAAACACATATTGTCATACAACTGTCCAATTGTCATACAACTGTCCAACACATATTGTCATACAACTGTCCAACACATATTGTCATACAACTGTCCAACACATATTATCATACAACTGTCCAACATATATTGTCATACAACTGTCCAACACATATTTTCATACAACTGTCCAACACATATTGTCATACAACTGTCCAACACATATTGTCATACAACTGTCCAACACATATGGTCATACAACTGTCAATAACATTGTCATACAACTGCCCAACACATATTGTCATACCACTGTCCAACACATATTGTCATAGAACTTTCCAACACATATTGTCATACAACTGTCCAACACATATTGTCATACAACTGTCCAACACATATTGTCATACAACTGTCCAACACATATTGTCATACAACTTTCCAACACATATGGTCATACAACTGTCCAACACATATTGTCATACAACTGTCCAACACATATTGTCATACAACTGTCCAACACATATTGTCATACCACTGTCCAACACATATTGTCATAGAACTTTCCAACACATATTGTCATACAACTGTCCAACACATATTATCATACAACTGTCCAACACATATTGTCATACAACTGTCCAACACATATTGTCATACAACTGTCAATAACATTGTCATACAACTGCCCAACACATATTGTCATACAACTGTCAAACACATATTGTCATACAACTGTCAATAACATTATCATACAACTGTCCAACACATATTGTCATACAACTGTCCAACACATATTGTCATACAACTGTCCAACACATATTGTCATACAACTGTCCAACACATATTGTCATACAACTGTCAATAACATTGTCATACAACTGCCCAACACATATTGTCATACCACTGTCCAACACATATTGTCATACAACTGTCTTACATACATCGCCACATATTCAGTACATTTTCTTTAAAAAAAAACCTAATGAAATTTTTCCTTCCATACCCTATATTTCCGGTACATCCGCCCCTCCCCCCCCCCACCCCCAGCCTACGTGACCAAGTACCGCTGGAATCTTCCAGAAAGACCATCCGGTTCACGGAGTTGGAAGTAATCGGTTATTTTTTTTTATTAGCTTAAAAAGTAGGTCAGCTCGTTAACAAACTTGATTTCACAGTATCGATTCCGCTTCACGATCCGATAAGTACGCGTTAAGAAGAATCGATTACGGCCCGTTAACAAGATCGGGATAGCTGGGGATAAACAAACATGTTAACTAGGGGGTGGGCAAGGGGTGGGAGATCTTACATGGGGCTTTTTTATGGCGCATTGGTGAGTGAAATGTAATTAGTTTATTATATATATATATATATATATATATATATATATATATATATATATATATATATGTATATGTATATAGGCCTATATATATATATATATATATATATATATATATATATATATATATATATATATATATATATATATATATATATATATATATATATATATATATATATAGGCCTATATATATGCGTGTGTGTATGCGTGTAATATATACGTACACAGTTTGAATATCACATCATGTTAAAAAGGAATGTCCAAGCAAGTCTCACTGAACATTACTGAACCACCTACAATTAGTTGTTGATCTAGTATATGTAGGCGTTGTCTAATATGTACCACATATACCACATAGATCCAGATCTAGTTTTCAAGCCCACGCTTTAAATATTTTCCATTGAGAAGGTTAAAGCCCCCAGTCATATGCGTATGTGCGTATGGGTTCAAATGTACTTCACTATGCTTTTAGTAAAAAAAAATTGTTCTAAGCAAAATCAATGTCGCGTTAGTTTAGCCCTAGTATTGGTTCAATGCCATTTGATGCGTGGATCGGCTTTTTATTTTGTCTATCGCATGCACGGAAATACGCCCGTGGGAACTGAGATTTTCTTTTTATAAACTTTAGACTGTACTGGATGGGACGAAGTTTGCCAAGAGATGTAGGCTAATAGTAAGCTACCCTTGAGGATGTGGGTGTGTAGGGGTGGGGAGGGGGGTGGTGGTAGAGATGGTTAGGGGGGGGAGAAGGAATGAAGATACAATACTTTGTGTTGTATAAGAATTTTTTTGGATTATTAAGATGGAAACAAATGCTAGAAGAATGCTAAAGCGGAAATTGTGACAGGCAAAGGTTGAGATTGGCGGGAGAAGACAGGGGTATAAAGTTTGGATAGACCGACTAGATTTTAGAGACAAAATATTTATTTTAAGACCGTGGGGACTGGACAGATAGGACATCTACAAGAGGACAAAATTAGAGATGACAAAACAAGAACGCGAAATATTGATGTGGAGAGTAAGATTTTGATTTCATTAATAAAAGTACACTTTTGCACAAGAGGAAGTAGAGTTCGTTTGTTTTTCTGACCTCGGTATATGAGATGACATGGCCAGCAAAATGTCCAGCCGTCTTTACTTGCCCAGAGGGAGGAATGTAAGAGACAGAGAGGGAGGGATGATAAAACACACGGAGGGGACAAGAGGGACTTACTTTCTGATGATAGAACACACGGAGGGGACAAGAGGGACTTACTTTCTGATGATAGAACACTAGGAGGGGACAAGAGGGACTTACTTTCTGATGATAGAACACACGGAGGGGACAAGAGGGACTTACTTTCTGATGATAGAACACACGGAGGGGACGAGAGGGACTTACTTTCTGATGATAGAACACTAGGAGGGGACAAGAGGGACTTACTTTCTGATGATAGAACACTAGGAGGGGACAAGAGGGACTTACTTTCTGATGATAGAACACTAGGAGGGGACAAGAGGGACTTACTTTCTGATGATAGAACATACGGAGGGGACGAGAGGGACTTACTTTCTGATGATAGAACACACGGAGGGGACGAGAGGGACTTACTTTCTGATGATAGAACACTAGGAGGGGACAAGAGGGACTTACTTTCTGATGATAGAACACACGGAGGGGACGAGAGGGACTTACTTTCTGATGATAGAACACTAGGAGGGGACAAGAGGGACTTACTTTCTGATGATAGAACACACGGAGGGGACGAGAGGGACTTACTTTCTGATGATAGAACACACGGAGGGGACAAGAGGGACTTACTTTCTGATGATAGAACACACGGAGGGGACAAGAGGGACTTACTTTCTGATGATAGAACACACGGAGGGGACGAGAGGGACTTACTTTCTGATGATAGAACACACGGAGGGGACAAGAGGGACTTACTTTCTGATGATAGAACACACGGAGGGGACAAGAGGGACTTACTTTCTGATGATAGAACACTAGGAGGGGACAAGAGGGACTTACTTTCTGATGATAGAACACACGGAGGGGACAAGAGGGACTTACTTTCTGATGATAGAACACACGGAGGGGACAAGAGGGACTTACTTTCTGATGATAGAACACACGGAGGGGACAAGAGGGACTTACTTTCTGATGATAGAACATACGGAGGGGACAAGAGGGACTTACTTTCTGATGATAGAACACACGGAGGGGACGAGAGGGACTTACTTTCTGATGATAGAACACTAGGAGGGGACAAGAGGGACTTACTTTCTGATGATAGAACACACGGAGGGGGGGGGGGACTTACTTTCTATCCTTTTCTCCAACATGTTGATTCGATGGTTCAGATGGCTCTTTGTTTCCTCCATTTTGAATACTCTGAAACGACAACATATCCCATACATTTTCATATCCCATACATGTCCATATCCCATACATGTTCATATCCCTTACATCTTCATATACCATACAACTTCATATTCCATACATCTTCATATCCCAAACGTTCATATCCCATACATGTTCATATCTAATACATGTTCACAGAGGCGTAGCGAGGGGGGTGCGGACCGCACCGGGTGACAACATTTAGGGGGGTGACACCAAGGCAAAAAATTGTAAAATATATAGAGAACAATTTGAGGGGGAGGGGGTGCAAATCGAAAGTTTGAGGGGGGTGCAAATCGAAAATTGAAAGTTTGTCCCCGGGAAGAGTCGCTACGCCTCTGATGGGGGTGACACCATTAAGTGCCGCACCGGGTGACACCCGACCTCGCTACGCCACTGCATGTTCACATCCCATACGTGTTAATTTCCCATACATTCCATATATGTTCATATCCCATACTTGTTCTTATCCCATATCTTCATATTCCATTCATTTTCATATTCCATACATGTTCATATCGCATACATGTTCAAATCCCATTCATGTTTATATCCCATTAAGCTCATTTCCCATATATATTCATATCCCACAAAGCACCATTTGCCATAAATTACTATATCCCACATACGTGCTTACACCGTCATAATGTATTTGCTTTTCTTTAAACTTATTGCGTTAGTTTTTATAATGTTTTTTTTTTATTGTGTCACTGTTTTTAAATAGAATTGGACGAAAACGTAAAGTCATTTCATCTTTACGACCCAGACGTACATATAAAATCATTGCCATGTCATGACATACTAGACGTCACGTCACACGTCAAACCATACGTCATACAACCGCCAGGGAAAGAAATAAACATAACTTTATAACCAACTATTAAAGTGATCGACTTTGAGCTGTTTATGTCTCACGTAGCTTAAACAACGCACGTTCGCTTCACACGAACATAGTAAAACAATCGAAATCGAAATGGTGAAGTTTTTTTTAGGACTTTTGACACATTCCTGAGTTAGAAAAACACAGTTTGTGTAACCTCGTCTGTATGTCTGTATGAGTGTGTGTCTGTCTGTGTGTATGTGTGTATGTGTGTCTGTATGTCTGTGTGTGTATCTGTGTGTGTCTGTTGTGTGTCTGTGTGTCTGTATCTGTAGGTCTGTGTGTCTGTGTGTTTGTCTCTCTGTGTGTGTCTGTATCTGTAGGTCTGTGTGTGTGTGTGTGTCTGTGAATATTTGTGTGCTCACACGATAATGTGAGTACCGTTTCAGTTAGGCAGTTGAAATTTCATATTTAAGTGGGAAACGTTTTTTTTAAATATTTGCATTGTTTTTAAAAGAGTGTCGTAAAACATGTTACACATTTGAAATAATGTGTATAGAAATTGTGTTAATTTATACGGAGAACACCCACATGAGTTTGATAAGGGGAGGGGTGGGTGGGGTTGTTGTGTAGTGTTGAGTATTTTAAATATATGGTGAGCGCTGAGAACGAGGGACGGTGGGAGCATGAACAGCGGAGTACAAATTCGAGAAGAGATGATACGGGGGGTGGGGTGGAAATGTAATATCATTGTGAAATGACTTTTAATTCTTCTAACGGATAAAAAAAAAGTTGTGTTTTAATTCATTACACTTTCAAAACGTAGCCCATTTTAGGTGTTGATGTGTTACGTCACAGAAATCACACCACCGATTTAAATGTAACGAGACAGTCCACACATTTTTACATGAACAAGACATGGACGAGACATGACTAGACATACATGGACGAGACATGAACAAGACATGGACAAGACATGGACGAGACAGACGAGACATGGACGAGACATGAACAAGACATGGACGAGACATGGACGAGACATGGACGAGACGTGGGCGAGACTTGGACGAGACATGGACCGGACATGGACCACGCATAGACGAAAATGGACGAGAGGTGGACAAGACAGACACGAGACACTGACGATATTTAAAGATACTTGAACGAGACATCGACGAGGCATCTGCGAGATATGGACGAGACTTAAGCTAGACATGGACGAGATATGAGCGAGACAGACATGGACAAGACAGACACGAGACATCTGCGAGATATGGACGAGACCTAAACGAGACTTGAACGAGACAATGGGCACGAAATGGAAGAGAAATCAGTGAGGCATTTTAAGTTTAAAAAAAAAATTATGGCAGGATTCTTTAGTCACATCTGAACAAGCTGAAACAGGATTAAATCATGATTAAATCATGATTGTATGAGGATTATATCATGATTATATGTGTATACTCACGATCGACCCTCTTCTCTAAGCTATCAATGCGTGCCATTAGAGAGAGTTTCATTTCTTGCATATTGGCCACCCTGAAAGATAGGGATCGTGAAAGATAGGGGTCGTGATAGATAGGGATCGGGATAGATAGGGGTCGTGATTGATAGGGGTCGTGAAAGATAGGGGTCGTGATAGATAGGGATCGTGTAAGATAGGGATCGTGAAAGATAGGGGTCGTGAAAGATAGGGGTCGTGATAGATAGGGGTCGTGATAGATAGGGGTCGTGAAAGATAGGGGTCGTGAAAGATAGGGGTCGTGATAGATAGGGATCGTGATAGACAGGGATCGTGAAAGATAGGGATCGTAAAAGATAGGGATCGTGATAACCAGGGGTCATGCGCATGGGAATAGTAAAGAACAATGATATATAAGGGGGGGAGGCGCAAAATTGATAGTTGACCCGGGCTACGCCTCTGACTGATCAATGTCTTAGTTTATATTCAAAAGGGATTTCAAGCGATCACAAAAAGCACACTATGAAATTAAGACAAAGTGATAATGTAGTATAGGTAACACAACTGTATCAAGAAACAGAATGATAGTGAAGTGTATGGGGTAAGGAAATATCAGGGTTACGATACATATTGTAGTGGTGATGTGGTGCGGAGGGTAAACATTGGGAGAGTTAAAGATGGGGATAGGTTAGAGTTGATGAAATGTTTTTATACGGTGTAGACAGTTAAGTTGGTCTAAGGTTGAGATGGCTGGTGCGTGGTGAGGTGGTTTCGTGTGATGAGGTGGGTAGGGTGATGAGTGGGTTAGGTTGGGGTGGTGAGATGAGTTGGGGTGGTGAGGTGGGTTGGGGTGGTGAGGTGGGTTGGGGTGGTGAGGTGGGTTGGGGTGATGAGGTGGGTTGGGGTGGTGAGGTGGGTTGGGTTGGGGTGGGTTGGGTTGGGTGGTGAGGTGGGTTGGGGTGATGAGGTGGGTTGGGGTGATGAGGTGGGTTGGGGTGATGAGGTGGGTTGGGGTGGTGAGGTGGGTTGGGGTGGTGAGGTGGGTTGGGGTGATGAGGTGGGTTGGTGTGATGAGGTGGGTTGGGGTGGTGAGGTGGGTTGGGGTGGGTTGGCGTGGTGAGGTGGGTTGATCTGATTAGGATGGTTGGGGTGATGATGATAAAATCTATGTTTCTGAAACAAACCGGAAACCGAGATGGGTGAGACAACACCAAACGGAACAAAACTCAATTACAGCAATATAAATAAATGTTCTCTTTTTCAATTTTACACAAACCCGGAAATCATACTCTACCCAACCCCGCCCCCTCCCCTACTCCAAGTACACAGGAAGAGCGATAAAAAATGAGATGGAACTATCAGAGTTAGATCCCTTGCCAAAACCAACACCGGAAGTGGCCAAGACGTGTTATAGATTATTTGTGTGCCTGGGGATTCGAACCCAAGTTGTAATCATACACTGAGTAGGTGGGAGTACGGAAACGCCCACCGGAAACCTAAAACAAAACGGAAATAATCCACGTCAAATTATAATGTCCAATATACCCAGCTATTCGGTTCTTTCCGTGTAGAAAAGTTTCGCTTTTTTATTTGTCTTACTAGAACGCAGTGCAAAAATGTAGTTCAAAGTCTAAACAGCTTTTGAAGCTATTTCTTCAAAAGCCCAATGTAAAATATTATTTTTATTAATACAACCAATACTTCAATTATATAACTGTTACTATGGTTACCATTAAATGATTTAAAACCGGCAACATAGTAAGAGTTAGTGTTAGGGTCAGGGTTAAATTTTTTAGGTTTAGGGTGAAGTTTTTTTTAAAAAGACTTTCTCACACATGGCCACAGTAAAGATGTTGTGAAGTCAGCATCGTCTGGAGGTTTCCAGAAAAAGAAAATGTCAAGACCGTTTCTTAGAGTGCCGGAGGGCTAAATGACCTTCAACCTTTGATACGTGGGGCAAAGGTCAGGGACCTAGGTATAAAATCGTGGCCAACTCATCTCGTGAAATACTCGATGTTTGAAATGAAATCACGTGGTGTCTGCATGCCTGTATAAGGGCGACATTTTTAAAACAGTGGTTCCTAATCTGGGTTCGATCGAACCCCACGGGTTCGGTGAGTTAATCTCAGGAGTTCGACGGAGTTAAAGACAAACACCCGACCCATGTAATTCACGATTGGATTTTGTTAGTGCGGACGATAGAACTATTAAAGGATTCGATGAATGCGCATATGCAACTGGTGGGGTTCGGTTAATGCGCATATGAAACTGGTGGGGGTTCGATGAATGCGCATATAAAACAGGTGGGGTTCGGTGAATACGCATATGAAACTGGTGGGGTTCGGTTAATGCGCATATGAAACTGGTGGGGGTTCGATGAATGCGCATATTAAACAGGTGGGGCTCGGTGAATGCGCATATGAAAGTGGTGGGGTTCGGTGAATGCGCATATGAAAATGGTGGGGTTCGGTGAGTACGTTAATGAAACTGGTGGGGTTCGGTGAATGCGCATATGAAAGTGGTGGGGTTCGGTGAATGCGCATATGAAAATGGTGGGGTTCGGTGAGTACGTTAATGAAACTGGTGGGCAGAGCCGGCGTTAGGGGGTGGCGAACGGGGCGGTCGCCATAGGCCCCGCGCTTGAAGGAGCCCCGCGCTTCAGCAATGTCATTGTTATCTGAATTAGTTCGTAAACTTAAAAAAAATTGT